AACCCACTTGGCAGGAACTTGGACATGGCAACTGAATTAATCCCAAAGGGCCACCCACAAATTGAATGGCTCAGCAGCAGGAACTGGACGACAACAACAACAACAAACTTTATTCTCATGGGTCTTCCACATGTGCCAGAGATGGGGACATTGCTCTTTTTGCTGTTTTCGATTATCTACCTCTTTACCTTGATGGGGAACTCTCTGATTTTTGTGACCATCTTGGTTGACTTCCGACTGCACAAACCAATGTACTTCTTTTTGGGGAATCTCTCCTTCCTTGACTTCTGGTTCTCCACCGTCACTCTTCCAAAGATGCTTCAGGGTTTCTTGGAGCCAGGAGGCACCACCATTTCTTTTCTGGGGTGCCTCGTTCAGCTGTTTTTCTCTCAAATGCTGGGGAGCACTGAGTGTTTCCTTTACACTGTCATGTGCTACGACCGATACGTGGCCATCTGTCACCCGCTGCACTACAGCTCCATCATGGACAAGATGACGTCTCTCCGGCTGGCTGCTGCCGTTTGGCTTCTGGGTTCTCTCCATTCTCTTCTACATACCTCCTTGGCATTCAACCTGCCCTATTGTGGACCTAAAAAAATTGACCATTTCCTTTGTGACCCAACGCCCCTCTTGGAGCTGGCATGCGCCAACACAAGCATCAACGAAACCATGATCTTCTTCGGCATTGGTATGGTAGCCTCTGCCTCCCTCCTCCTGATTCTCCTTTCTTATGCGAGTATCTTCAGGGTCATCTTGAAGATTGGCCACTCAGAAGGAAGGTACAACGCAATCTCCACCTGCGCATCCCATTTCACTGCTGTGATGTGCTTCTACGTCCCTTGCATCTTCGTCTATCTGCGGCCGGGCTCAAAAAGTACCTTGGATAAGATTGTGTCTGTTTTTTACACAGTTCTCACCCCTATGTTGAATCCACTGATCTACACTCTTAGAAACAGAGAAATGAAGACAGCTTTGTTCAGACTAAAACACAAAAGTAAGTGTGTACCAGAACACTGAAAGGTCAGTATCAGCATTTATCTTAGGGTATGTTTATGTAACAGTTTCATAGAGGGAGGAACTTGGCACATGCTAAAACTAAGATGAACAGTGGTGGTTTGTCATTGCCCACCTCTGCACCTTGGACGTTCTCGGTGGTCTCCCTTCTAAGTGCCTAACCGGTGCTCCCTCTAAGCCTGAGTTAGTGTGAGCTAGCTCACTGTTTTTTAGCCTCCGGCTCACACATTTTTGTCTCAGCTTAGGAAGGAGGGCCCCAGAGCAAACTCGTTTTATGCAGTAGCCAAATTGCTCGTTCACAACTTTAATGCCAGGAGCTCACAAAGCAGAATTTTTGCTTACGACTCCATACGTTAGAGGGAGTGTGGGCACTAACCAGGGCTAACCCTACTTAGCTTCCGAGATCTAATGAGACTGGGGTAGCCTGGGCCATACTGACATTGAGGATGTTGACCAGTCACCGAAGAAATCATCCATCTTCTTAGGTTCACAGCAGGATGGACACCACACTTAAACTAGCCTTTCTCTTTCTATAACAGCTACAGTTCTATGGCGAGATTCTAATTATCAGAACCATCACTAAGCTACAATCTTCTGCGATCTTGGGGAGGGTGCGCCATGGGAGTTAAATAAGCATAAACTAAGAAGTCTGTATGTCTGTTTTTCTCAACTCAGCAGTAAATGAAAATAGACATAGAAGTAGGGCCTTACTATAAGATCAAGTCTGGAAAGATTCATGAGTGGTTGCAGAAAATTTTAGAATTGAATGTGCCATATAAACCTGAATTGTTTTTTGTTAAATATATTACCGGATTGTTTAGATAAGAAACAAAGACTGCAATCACACAAACTAAATAATCCACTTTCAACCCACTTTCAATGGACTTTTCAACTGGATTTTTCCTGTGTGAACTGGCAAAATCCAGTTTGAAAGTGCATTAAAAGTGGATTGAAAGTGGATTATTTAGTATGTGTGATCGCAGTCAGTAACCTATAATTGTACATGTGGTGACAGCAGTGAGAATTTTGTATGCAAAATATTGGAAAGTGAACCAGGCGCCAACAGATGATGAACTGATTGAAAAGGTTCAATCAATCAATTTATTTCTACAGTCCTTAGACCAGTCATTACTGAAAATGTTTTAGAAGTTGCTGAGATGGACATTTTATCGGAAAAGGTTAAAAGGCCTGGACGACCGAGAGCTGGAAGCGATATGGAAACCATTTTGTATATGGACCCAAACAAGAAACTAGAGAGACAGACTCTGAACATATAAATTGTAATGGTTATTAGAAAATATGTGTTAAACAAAGGAAAGATGCATGTTTGTTTGTGGAACCTGATTTAAGTGGCTTAAGTTATTAAATGATTCCCTGTGCTCTACTGTTTCCCGGATGTCATAACCCACACCGTCTCCCATCCCTACCTTACCCTTTCTTATGGAAATTTAATTTAAGCAATTTAAATGGAAAAAATATATAAGACCACCTAGTCCAGCATCCTTTTATTTTTCTTCACTGAGATGCTTTGGGGAAATCCACAAATGGTGCCTGAAGGCTCCTTGCTGCAAGCCGTATACTTCCTAGTAGGTAGCATTATAAGAGCACCAGTCTCTGAATCTGGTATCATGGCAATCGCCAATGCATTTCTCCAATCACCTGTTAATGTCGGTCGCCTTTGTCGGTGGCCAGTGCCGCGTTACGTTGCCATGAATTACATAAGCCCAGGGGTCATTTCCTGCAGGAGCGCACAGAAACGGAGCTCCGGCAGTAAAGAGCCCGGGGGGCGGGCACATGCAACAAGCCCCACCCCCCACTCCCAGCAGCCCTCACTCAGAGCAAGAAGCAGCCACACGTCCCCCCCCCCCAATAGCTAGCAATCCAAAACAGTCCAGTGGCACCTTTAAGACCAAGTTTTATTCAGGTAGAAGCTCTCCCTCCTCTATGAGGGCAGCGCGGCGCATCCCCCCCCCAATAGCTTGCAATCCAAAACAGTCCAGTGGAGCCTGAGCAGTGGGTGTTGCCTTCTGACACACTTCCGGTGATGTCAGGGGGTGTGGCATATGCAAATAAGTTATGCTAATGAGTTATGCTAATGAGCTCCTGGACCTCTTTTTCTACGCAATGACCCCTGCATTGGCCCATCACACATTGCATAAAGGACTTGATCGTTCTGTCTGCCCTGAACCTACTACCGATGAATTTTATTGGGTGCCCTGAAAGTCTGGCATTGTAGGGAAGTGTTGCAATAGGATCTGAGGGGTGTGGGTCCACGTTCCCATTCTTTCGTGACGTTTCCTAGATGACCTCGGGCCACTCAGTTTCTCTCTCTCTCTCTCTCTCTCTCTCTCTCTCTCTCTCTCTCTCCCTTCCTCCCTTTT